ATAACTGGTGATTTTATGGCGTATAGCGTGAATACTGTTGCATCTGACCGTGGACGGAATATGAATTTGGCTCGTACGATGGCTTGCGGGGCATCGTTGGGTGCCATCAGTTACAGGCAAAATTTCACCATTGATCAAACGTTCGCACTTCCGAATCGTGCCTCACTTCCTCTGCAGGTTTGTCCGTCAATTTCACGCAAATTCGCACGCTATTATTCATTATTCCCTGGATGCACCTGCACCATCAAAACACCATTTCTGATGATCACTACCACCTGTAATATCCAAGTCTGTCCAGGAAAGCAATATTGCAAGGCGTACGAACAACGGCTTATTCATTTGAGTCTGATTTCGACAAATCGTCATCGTTATTATTCTTTCTTATTGTTCAAAACGTTCGTTTCATGCCATTGATGAGTGCAATACGTTAGGCACCCAACGAAATATTTCAGTATTTCGTATCACAGATTCTAAAGTCTCTTGTTTTAAAGGTCGTTTTATGCGTGCCATTATCGCCGCAAATGCCACTTCTGGACAAGAGAATCNAAAGTCTCTTGTTTTAAAGGTCGTTTTATGCGTGCCATTATCGCCGCAAATGCCACTTCTGGACAAGAGAATCCTGAGCCTCTTGCAGTCCCTCATAAAACATCACTATTCTGAGGTAATATTTGTGATAATTTTCGCATTTGGTCGATGTCTTATAAGAAGTCGTTCTGATGATGGGAGTGTTTAGGAATCACAAGAGGAGGAAGTGCAGCGTTTGAGTGCTCTGCTCGATGCTACTTATGTTGAGGCAAGATCTATTGTGACACCGCTCGTAATGAAGAAAGAGAACATCTCATTGACTGACTTGAAACGTTTGACGCATGCCATTTCTGAACAAATCAGAATCGATCAGGTATATTCTACTATTCTTCAAAGTGTTCCAGCATAAGCAATGAGCACATGACGGGATAAACTCGTGCAGGAAAGATTAGCATTCAAATACCTGACTGTACAGTCCATTCCCTCGTTACTTGTTCGCTTTTGTCATGCTACTATAAGTGGAGTTCATCTCAGCCCCCTCGCACACACTCTCCGGTATTGCTTCGGATACGAATTCAATTCCGT